CAAGGCGTTCATAGCTCTGCTGGCATCTACACGGCTCAGCTAGATGCCGCAGAACCATAGTCAGCAGTTTGTACTTTAAGTAGACTCCAGACAGATGGTGGGTTGATGGCACAGCCTCCTGTGTCATTATACTAAGTAAAACTATTTCCCCTTGTTTATTTCCCCTCCTCCCCCCGCCCACTGTTCCTCAGATGTTCTTGTTAACTCCTGGAAATGTGCTGGAAATGGCCCACCTTGATTATCACTTCAAAAGGTTTTCTCTCCCCCCACCCCACTCTCCTGCTGGTAATAGCTCATCTTAAGTGATCACTCTCCTTACAATGTGTATTTTTTCATGGTCTGTGTGTATATAAATCTCCTCACTGTATTTTCCACTTTATGCATCCGATGAAGTCAGCTGGAGCTCACAAAAGCTTATGCTCAGATATATTGGTTAGTCTCTAAGGTGCCACAATTACTCCTGTTCTTCTGACTAGTGCTGTGTGAACAGCTGATTTTTGGTTCTCTGGCAGTTCCAAAAAAACGAAAATTAATTTAGGATCAAATGAAACATTTCGTTCTCCTGAAACAACGAAACATTTTGCTTCAGGTTTGAGCTTTTTAAAAATGTTACATTTTTAAAAAATAAAACTGAAGGAAATTTGCAAATGACAAGCCATGTCAAACTGAAAAATCAAAACGTTTTGCTGCGAAAATGTTGAAATGAAATGTTCAGATTTCTTCAGGGTTTTTTGTGACTCGGACAACCCAGCGACTTTGACGCAAATTCACAAAACGTTTCAGTCCACCTCAGTTTGCGTTTTTGACGTACACAAAAAAAGTTTCAACCAAAATATTTCACTCAGCTCTGTTCCCAACCTCTCCACACCTTGAGCTCTGCCATACCTGGCTTGTTGTGCCCATTCAGATCTGCTTTTTATGAGGTTCAGGACCAGAGGCCCCTAACCTGTCCTCTTTTCCCCCAAATCAGATTAGTAGCTTTCTTTCCTAAGCACAAGTAGGACTAAAGAGTGCAATGTCAGGCGGAGTCCCTGTGGCCAGAGACCCATGGAGCCTACGCATTAGCTGATGGTGCATGAGTCACAGGCATGCAGTGTGCCATAGAGGTGCAGAACGACAACATTAGTGCAGAAGAAGAGGGGATCTTCTCTGCCTGCTCCTGTTCATTGACAGGCCCAGGTTGTCCCGTTCCATCCAGGCTGGCAGGATGTCCACGTCGAGTCTCATTGACTTCACTGGGGCTTTGCATAGGTGTGAGAGGCTGCCTGCAGGATTGGGGCCTTTGTTTGTGCTAGGTTGGCTTAGCTGCTTGCCTCTGAGTAATGCCAGGCTGGAAGGAGCAGCAAGAGCCCTTCTCCAGCAAAAACTTCAACTGTGACACTGTAAATCACTCAGTGGAAACATTGTACTGGTATATTGTGGTCACTTTAGCACTAGTTTTCCTCTCCGAGCTTATTTCCCCAGTGGCTGTTTCTTCTACCTTCTTGGCTCTTCTTTCGACATATTTTGGGCTATGTGTTTTATCTCTGTTTTATTAAAAATAATACTAGAGGGTCTTAGAGCACTTATCCCAAACACAGCAAGACCCTATAGCTCTAGATCCAAATGCTGCAGGGTTGGTACTGGAAGCCATTAGTGTTTTTGCAACGTTCTGGTAAAAGCGTGTAATACCTGTGTTTTCTTTAAAGGGGTGCTATAGAAGCTGCAGCAGCAAAAGTGGCAATGGATGCCTGGGCTGTCAAAGGCGAAAACCTCTCGACGGACAAGTGGCCACCCACACTACAGCAAAACGTACAAGTTCTCAGAACCATCCATATGAAGCTTATCTCAGCTGAGTCACTCGGTGAGTATCTCACATCCTATGAGGTCAGTGTGATAGGAAGTGGTCCCTGTGTGGCGCTGGACAAAGCGTGTAATGTATGACTTTATGTCCGGCTTTGAATGCAGCTGCATTTCCTATGCATGTTCCTCTCTCTCAGCACGCTTTATTGCCCTACATTTTAAAGTATAGTTCTGACCTTTTGTGCCTGTTTTAGTTTATCAGCTTGCCGGATAGCCTCCAGAAATTGTCACAAAGTACCAGGCTGCCTGCATCCCCTGAAATTCGTGCATCTCCTCTTGGGGATTTGCTTGATTTACCCTTTACATTTTCTCTCCTATAATTGGACCTGGTCTCCTCCTTATTTTTCACTCTGTCTCTTGTTTTCATTATTTCCCAATAAAGTAATTCATGGAATTGCAAGAAAACAGCTCTTTTTAGGTTTCCCTTACCTCTGCCCAGGTAGTACCACCTTTTGAGGTGAATGCTTTCCTTGGCTAAACAAAAGTGGATAATGCCACTACAAACTTCACTAACAAACTCCAGAAGACTGGAAAAAACACAGAGACTTGCAGGAATCTTTGATCTACCACATTTCTTTGCTTGAGGTATCGTTGCCTAGCAACAGTGATTATGACAGGATTCTTGTTAGCGGGACTGAGACCTCACATAGCAAGGATAACGGCTAGCTTCCAAGCATTTAAAGTTGCTTGCAATGTTGTTGTAGCTGTGTAGGTCCCAGGATATGAGCGAGATAAGGTAATATCTTTTATGGGACCAACTTCTGTTGGTAGCTGGTACAAGCTTTCAAACTACACAGAGTTCTTCAAGTCTGGGGAAAGAAATCAGGAAAGGATTTTAAAGGCAGCAGCTACCTTTTTACTTTGCACATGGTCCAAAAGGGGACCAGCAGATTTTCCTAAAACAACACAACTAAGGGGCAATCATAGACATATATGTAATACTGTGTGTAGAATCTTAAGGACATTAAGACCATGCTGTCTGTACAGAAGAGGTATGAATCCAAGAAAAGCCCTGGCATGCTTACTCTCTTCACACATTCAGAGTGTAGGTGTTTTCCTCTTCTAGCGGAGAGTAACTTTACCAAGGTCAGGCTCAAAGACTAGTGAAAGGTCAGCTTGCAGACAAACAAACCAATATCTCACCCCAATAGATTAAAGTGGCCACTGCCACCTTGAACTCACTTAAAGTATCGCTGCTATTGATCACAGTTTCTCCTAAACCAAGGTCAGTGTCTGTCTAACACTAACAGTGCATTATTCTTCAGCCACCTTGCTAATGCTGCATTATGGGTCTGCTGCCAAGTACAACAAATTACATGAATAATTTCCAAATACTATGGTACAGCTTCAACCATTTGTACCAAACCAATTTCCATCACGCCATTCTGACCTAGCCAGAGCAAAGGGCTTTGCTCCTTGGCAATGCTCTCCCCCAGTTCAGAAGTGGACTGGATGCCAGTTGTCTGCCTGGAAACTACTGCTACTTCCTCTCCCCCACACAATTTCCTAGAGGCCACTGCACTTCCATGTTATTATTATTGTTTGTATTACAGTTGCACCTAGCGAACCCAACCAAAACCAGGGGCTTTCAGGCTAGGTGATGTATGAACTGATAGTGAGATTCAGGCCTTCCCATACAGAGCTTACAGTCTAAAAAGATACGAGAGACAGCAGATGGGAGGGGAAAGAGTCACAGAGAGGTGGAGTGATTTGCCCAAGGTCATGCAGCAAGTCAGTTGCAGAGCCAGGAATAGAACTGGTCCATTTCACTGCTTTTATGGGGTGGGGGCAGCAGTGAAACAGACAAAAATCACATCGGTTTGAGCTGTCAGGGATCCTGGGGAGCACATATCATTTTGGAAACACCATGTTTCGGTGTTTCCTAACCAAAATATCTTGGGATTTCGATTCTGCAAAAAGTTGCGGTTTTATCTTCATCCCTATTCAGAACAATCCTCCCCTCCTCCTGCCCAAAACTCGAAAGTATTCTCAGAATGGAAATTCAGTTTCCCAGAACCCTAAATAGAACCCAGGTCTCCTGACCACCACTCCAGTGACCAATCTGCTAGACCATGCTGCTTGCATGAAGAGGGGGGTGGGAATTCCTTTGTGCATATGGAGCCCAATCATGTGAGATTCTGAGCACCCTCAACTCCTGCTGATGTCAATGGAAGTTGAGAATGCTCCACACCTTTCAGGATTGAGCCTATTGTGTACAAAGCCCTTTGAGATGAAAAGTGCTATATAATCAATTAATACAAATGCCATCACTTTGACATGTGGTTTGACTGATGTCCAGGCTATGAGCCCTGTGCATTTGTTAACCATTTATATTTAATGTAATAGCATTTTTAAAACTATTGTAAAGTTCAGCATGTTTCACCTCTTTCATTTAGGCTCTTTTATGCACAGAAAACAGTCTCTAGTTAATTTAAAATCAGCTGCATATCACTGACTGAGGAGCTGGAAACCAGCAAGAGGAGAGAATCTGTCAGTTCACATCAGAATCCCAGTGTATACGAACGGGCATAGCCATTGATCTCCACTCAAGAGAAAGGTTCTAGGGAAATATTAGCTCTTCATCTCCCAGATGAACAGAAACTAGGGTTTGATTTCCTGCCTTTTATTCTCTTTAGAAATTTTTCTATCACTTTTGGAGACCTCCTGTTCCCAGCTTCCCCAAGCAATGAAGTAGTTTCTGTGCTCAGGGCAGCTGTGCTGTCAAGATCACTTCTGAATTCAAATCCTGTATTGGGTCATTCACAGCACACCTCATGAATACAGCCAGCACTGGAGAATGGGAGGAAGAGGGGCATTTGTAATAGAGGGGGAAATGCCATAGCGAGATGTGGAGTAATTTTTTCCTATACAACTGACCTTAAGTGGAAGCATGGTTTAAATCGCTTCTCACCCCTACAGGGATCAGATTTCTGGGTCACAATGGACTCGCTTGTTAGCTAGCTGGTCTAACTGCTGCGAAATGGTCATTAACTTCTAAACCATGGTTGATTTAGATATGTATACATATTTATATTCTAAAGCAAGGACACCTCAAGAAACTGGCCTAAGAAGTTTTATCAGTTCATATATTCCATGAAGATTAAATTAGTCATGAAATATTATTTTATTTTAATTGGTTATTGCAGAAAGGTGCCGGACTGGCAACCCTGGAGGCTAGGCTGAAGTCTGTTCAAGCTAAGGTGACTCTGGGATACCAAGAAAGATATGTTCTTTAATCTTAGATTGCCTTTACTGCAGTGAATATCAGAAGACCAACACAGTCATGCTCTACCAAAAGGTAGGAATATAGCACACACAAAGACACGTTGCAAATGACCATAAAACAACAGAAATGTTAAATCCCAGATGAATCTCATTCACCCAGTGGCTCCTCCAGCTTATAAATGGAATGACTTCCTCCCTGTATTATAGAATTATCTGCGGGAAGATGGGACAAGTGAAATGAACTGATTGAAAAAATGACCATATGGATAACTTCTGTAATAGCAATGCAGCAAAAATTGAGCAATTGTTGAACTGCAGGAGTCACTTGTTCAAATAAATGGGATCTGGCCAGGCTCTGACCTTTAATCCTTCTCTTCCCCTTCCTAGCTTGTTGTGTCTGCTCTCCCCTATTGTCTATGTCTGTCCTCCCATCCCTTCTCTGCTCTGTCCACTGCCTTTCCTTTTACTCTCTCACTCCATCCCACAGGGCCTGTGCTCTTCTTTGGTCACTCTGGCTGAAATTTTCAATGCAGCCAGCATTTCACTCTCTCTTTTCCTATCCACTTTCCCCACCCCCTTCTCTCCCTTTCTCATAGGGCTTGGGGAGATGCCATCCCTTGCCCCTCCTATCTCTTTTCCACACACACCTCTTCCTCTCCTTCCTAAGGTGTTTGAGAGATCCCAGCCTCCTCCCTCCTGGCAGTGAGTACCTCTCTATCCCCTTTAAAAATAAATGGATAGACACTATTTAAAAGTGAATTGATTTCTCAGGTTTGTATATTCCATTATTTATCAAACCCAAGACACTGGTGGGAAAGGATCAGACATTCATATTTACCGAGTCATGTGCATTTCTATGTGACTAAGATTGTTATATACTTTCCTTGAGTTCAAATTAAAATAGAGTCTTTTCTGCCCCTCTGCCCATCCACCCCTTCTCTCATTCTGATCTTATACACATATTAACTGAGAACAACAGAGCTTGAAGTGAACATGAAATCAAGCATAAACTACTGCTCCATCTCCCAAGTCTTATTAGAGGGCGATAACAGGTGCCGTTGCAATAGCAGTCTGAGTCTGGGTTATGGTTAAATGGTAGCTCTGAAGGAGGCAGAAGTCTCCACAAACCACTGGCTTCACAGTGAGCTATTTCAATGTGGTGCAATGCAGAACACATCTGTACCCTTTCCTCCTGTTGTGTACTGACAGGTGTCTAGAGAAGCGCAGAGAATGATGAGTCCTGGCCTCACTGAATCTCTGGGGCGTCTAGGTAATGAAAAATGTTGGGAATGGGGAATATGGCCAATCATCCCTAGAATGTTTTCCTCTCTCTTACATTTCACTTTTATCTTTATAGTTCCTGGAAGGAAAATACATTAGAAAGTGGAAAGATGATGAACTGAGCAGACAAATGCATGTACAGATCAAATATATTTACAGCTGCCACTGGTTTGTTAAGCACTGATTGATTCGCAGTGGTATTAAGAAGGCCCAGGCTCACATGTTGTCATGGTGTAGCCAGCATTATTTAGCTTTCACCCCACGGGACTTGCTTCTAGAAATTGGTTTGAGCCATCTTTGCTAATGGCAATTCCTTCCAAACTGTAGCAGTCACAACAAAGTGCAGACACTGTTTGCCTGTCACTTTATGGTATAGGGGAAGAGTCAGGATTTGCTCTGGGTGGAAGAGAGATGAAGGCATGCAAATATACAGGATGAGATCTACAGGAGTTTGATGAGAGAGATCTAATATCTCGGGGAAAATTCTGTCTTTTGGTTACCCTGTCCTCCCAAACAACCCCCTACCCCCTATTCTATCCACTTGTTGTATCCTGTCTGACTGACACCTAGACTGTGAGCTCTCGGGGAGGGGCAGGGGGGAACTACTTTCTTTATTCCATGTCTGTACAGCATCTAGCACAATGGGGCCCTGATCCCTGGCTGCAGTTCTTGGATGTTACTATCATAAATAATAATGACAGGGCAGCGCCTCTCAACTGGGTGAGGTGGACAGGGGTCTTTATTTCTTTCTGGGGAGCAATAAAATGTGGGAAGACCACTCCATGCATGGTTCCCTCATTCTTCCTTTACTCTGCAGACACACCCACTGGAATTCCAGGAGGAGGCTCCCAGGGAGGAAATCTCAATGAGGATGGTGCTACAGAGATATTCCCTGATTGGACATGGGGCAAATCCTCAGAGATCTGGGCCCAGTCCAAGGGGATCTGCAGAAGGCCAGAGCAGTGTTGCCAACTCTCATGATATCTACTGTTTTTTCTAAGGCTCCAGCTCCTGGAGTCATGTGAACTCAACTTTCATTTTTTAAAAGGTAAATTTCTGGCCCTCCTGGTTGCAGAGAACAGCTTGAATAGTGACTCCTAGAGGCTCAGAAACCAGGAGGCATATATAAGAACCCCAATGTTGTTATTTAAAAAAACTCAGTATTTTAAAGCCAATTTCATCAGTTTTGGGGGCCTGACTCATGATTTTTGAACACTTGGGGTTGGCTGTTCTACTGGAGCCAACCAGATTGGGCCCTGCACCTTTGAACTGGTTCTAGTCTGAGCCCCACTGAAGACACAACACTGGAGACAGCCCCTCACCACAGCTGCAGCTAGGAGCACCAGGATGGGTATGAGCGGGAGTGAAGTAGAGGCGAGGGCTCAATGGGGGTCCTGGGATGGAATATCTTTTCTGACCAAGTGCCCCAGGACCAGAGGGGACTGGCATCATACGGCCACATGGCCTGGTGAGGCTTCTCCCCATCCTCCCCAAGCACATTCCCCCTTGGGACTGGAGGATCTTGGGGGACAATACCATGGATCTCAGGGAGGAAGGGGAGAGACAGGGCCCTGTTGCTAAATAGATATTTCATCTCTGTAGGGCACCTTGATCTGTGAGTCTCTCATGATTAACCTGGTGCTTTAGGACTGGCTGTGGATTGCATCTGCTGGAGTATTCTAAGAGGGGGAAGTTGCTTTTCTAGTGTTCTGCTTGTCTTATAACCCTCTGGGAGAGCTATGTTCCTTCAATATTGGCCCCAAGAGTAAATCATATTAAAACATCAGTTGAATAGAAAATGAAAGCACTCTGGCAGTATGAGTATTGGGGGAATAGATTGAGATAGGGAGCATTGAAACCTTGTCTAAGTGTATGTTACTGGCCCATTCAAATGTATCACAACGCAACAATGGGCCCTATTGCTTGCAGGTGGAGAAAGTCATATTATTTGGAGCCAAAATGCCAGCAAAACCTTTCACGTTCCCATTGTCTTCAGGAGAGTATTTGCTGATGATCTGAAAGGAAAACAAAACTGTCACCATATTTAGAGCTGTGTAAACCCAATAGATAAATATATACATTTGCCAGTTTGTAATGAGACAAACTAAAGAGACAGAGCAGTCCATTTGGTATAAAGATATTCAGTTATTTCAGCTAAAATTACTTAGGGACAGCAGCACATAAATGAGATACCAACATTTGATTTTAATGACTTTCCACCTTGCTGCAGGCTAAAATTCAGTTAAAATTCAGATTTGCTATGTTAAAGTGCAATTCTCCCCTCCCCATCCCGCAGGAGCTGCATAATAAAGAGAAAATGGCATCCACAACACCTGCCTAGAATTCTGAAAGTCAACAACAACCTCAAAGTGTGGGAGTTGCAGTGGTGCAACAGGAGTAATTTATCTTTTCAGGCCTCCTTGCCAATAATATGGGACATCAACACAACATTTTTGCAGAGTCAGAAATTTGTGTTTTTAAACCCTAGGCTTCTTGATGAAAAAACACTGGAAATTTCCCAATTATTTTTCTCCCTCCTAAAAGGACAATTGATTATTTTAAACGTGAGCTGTGAACCACCAAGTGTGGTGGGTCGAAACAGGCTCAGCAATCCTTTGCATTCATAGAACACAGAGGGGTGTGAAAACGACAACAAAAATGGATAATGATAGATACATGTTTGACAAGCTGCAGCCAAGTCTAACAATTCTGTTGCCAGCAGGATCATCATGTCATGTAAAAATCAACACCCAAAACCACAGCTTGCTTACCCCTATAGATTTTACTAGTTTAATTTATGAAGCCACGAGTGACAGCAATTGCATCTGAATTTAGTAATACACAGTACTACCAACCCCAAACATCCAAAAATCATGAGTCAGACCTGCCACCCCCAAATCATGAGTTTGGCTTGAATATCATGAGATTAAAAAAACATGGGACTTTTTATTTGCCTTCTGGTTTTTGAGTCTTTAGGTTTCACATTTTCAAACTTTTGTCTGCAACCCTGAGGGCTAGTAACTGATCTTTTCTTTTTAATGAAAGCAGAGATTTTCACAATCATATGATTCCAGGAGTTGGGGCTTTAAGAAAAACACCAAGTATTATGACACTTGTGATAAAATGTCAACAACAGCTGGCAACACTGCATAGCAAACATGGCAAAGAAAAATAAGGTACAATATGCAAGTGATTCCTTAAAATGGTAGCTTTGGTACTACAACTAAGGTGTCTGCCACAGAAATTCAGTGTGTTTGAATGCACTCTGTATAGGTTCAATTCAAATTTGAATACAAACTGCTATAGAAATGACTTGAAAAAATAAGATGAGTCACCCTAACATCAGATCAATAATAACAAGACAAAAATGTGGAGTGCGGTTTGTGCTGGGCAACCCACAGTTATTAACATGGTGAATTTTTCTTTGCTTTTCTTATAAACAGGTTTACGCTGAGAAGAATAAACGCCGGAGTTCAGATGTCACCATGCATAAGTCTGTGCTGAAAACCCCTCCCCTAGGATTTCCTCCCACCCGTCTGAGCTTTCAGCGCACATATTACAATGAGAGGGTACCTTCCATCCAGCCTTGTGTGGGCCTATGGGGGAAATGGAGCTAAGAGTTAGGTCAAAGAGGATCCTTCACACTGCTGAGAGCCCCTCTCCTGGGACTAGCTTTCCCGAAGTGGGCAAGAAGGGGACGGGTTCAGGTCCTCTCTGCAGGCTAGAGCAGATCTAAGGGTCACTCTGACTTGTACCCTGTTGCAAAAGCTACAGAATGGCTGGGGCCTAAGACTGTCCTGGCCACATCTTCCTCCTCTGCCTTCCTCTGCCACTGGGCTGCTGTGGAGATGGCAGAGAGAACACAGCTGCGGGAGGGCTGCATGTGGAGTCTGCAGAGCAGTGCTGCACTGGGCCCAATGTCTTAGTTCCTGCTAGGGCAGTGCATGTGAACGGTTAATTTAAGTCCATGGTAGGACACTGGGCAAGGGTCTGGAGAAGGATCTAAGCAGAAGGTGAGCCATGAAGGCCAAGCTCTATGGGTAGAACTGAGTCTCTTTCACTGATAAAGTTCTCCATTTGGTGTTAGCAGAAAGCTGCTCTGTCATGTGACAATCATTTGGAAACACAGAGTAATGTGGGTCTGTAGCTACCTTCAAGGCAGTAGGGCTGGGCAAAAAACAGGATGGAATTTCCCTCCAAATGAATTCCTATTTTTTCCCATTGAAATTCAAAAAATGTTACCTACAGCTTCTCTTTTTCTTTCTCTGTCCTACTACTGAGATTAGATTTGTTTCTAAGGTTATATCTACACTATGAGCTAGGGGAGTGATTCCCCTGCTTGTGTACACGTATTTGTGCTATTTCTCATTGAGCTAGTGCTAATATAAATAGCAGTATCGCCATGGTAGCATGGCTAACGGCCGCACAGCTGAGCCACACCAAGTACATTCCCACTACACAACATTGCCTCTGCTAATTCTTATAATTGTGAAGTCTGCTCAGTTCTTTTGAAAAACTAATACAGCTGCAGCACAGCTAGTTGGGCTTTCTCGGCCCCCGTTTCTATTAGTTCTCAAAGGGATTTTAGAAATATTTGTTCCATATTTGAAAACTGCAGTTGTCCAGACAAACTGAAGAACAATCTAATAGGCTCTGGCATACTACCCATTTTACCGCTAATTGCAAATGTCAGGTATTTCTGCATTTCATGTGCCGTAACAACAGGATTTCACTGTGCCACTCATCTCATTATTTAAAAACAATATTTTAAAAAGACACCAGGGCACTGCAGCTGCAATCAGTTCTAAGTAATGAGCTTCTAAAGTGATTGACCTGTTCCACCTCAGTGTTTAATGTGTTGTGTATCACTTATAATTACTGTGCTAACAGCGATGGCCAATGCTTTACAACCCTCACCCTGTGCTAATTCATTTTCTCTCTTTCATAGGAGTGTCACAGAGAGCTGGGATTTTCAGCCAAAACTCACAGTATTGTGAATCTTAAAATTCAAGTGTAAATTCTTATCTAGAAATGAGACAAGCAAGGATTTTTAGAGGCAAGCTTATACACGGCCATTCCTTGTACCTTCAGACATAGCTAACAAAGTGGTATTCCCAAGAATAACATCTTAATAGTTTTACACATACTGATGCGCATTGGGCACTGCTGTAGTGAAATCCTCAGGGATACAATGCCACCAGCCTTGTCCCCTAAAACTAACATATAGACAAACTGCAAGGCTTACCAGTTTGGGGGCTCCCTGGTAGGTAGGATATTCAGTGATGGCGTACAGATTTGTCACGTAAGAGTATCTCCCATTTGGAAATTGATCTCCATTACCATATATCCATGTACAGGGCCAGATTGTGATGCCTTTACCTACGTTGAGCAGCATTTTTCCTGACTTCAGTGGAAATGCTTGTGGGGAAAGGTGCTATTCAACATGAGTACAGATTGCACAGCCTAGCCCACAGAAATTTTATATTCAGACATGTTATAATGCAAATCGACATGTCTTATTGGTTTGTGTTACTGTCTTTGTTACAATATATGAACATCTGATGCATTGCTTCAATGACCAGCCATCCCTAACTAAAATATTCCTGGGCTGGTGGGAGCGGGGAGAAAGTAGCATTTTCCTTGCATTGGCTGGTACAACAAGGATGATTTTTTATCATGTTACAGTTTTAAAAATTAGGTGACAGAAGAAAACAAGCACGTAGGATGTCGTGAGAGAGACCATTCAACAAGACACTTGTTTAGAGGGGTGTGTCTTTTTGGTGACTCTTTTATGGTTGCTTCAGTTCACACCATGCTGAGTCTAAGGATTTTAATTATCTTACAAGTGATCACTCTCGTTACAGTGTGTATGGTAACACCCATTGTTTCATGTTCTCTGTGTATATAAATCTCCCCACTGTATTTTCCACTGAATGCATCCGATGAAGTGAGCTGTAGCTCATGAAAGCTTATGCTCAAATAAATTTGTTAGTCTCTAAGGTGCCAAAAGTACTCCTTTTCTTTTTTGCGAACACAGACTAACATGGCTGCTACTCTGAAAATTATCTTACTGTAACTTCAGGGAATTTTTGACTGGCTTCCTCATTTTAAAAAAAATCCTTCTTTTAAAAGTTTAGGGGTTTGGTTTTTTTGGTATAGCTAATTCTGTCCCTACGGATATTCAATTCAATTGTTTGTAATTACTGTTACTCAGTGGCTCAAGTATAGTTATTTCTTGAACAAATTCCTGTGTGTTAGGACTATCTCTAGAATATTCCCTCTCCTTTGTGGCTTGGAACAGGGAATCATCATTGAAGGGGTGTATTTCTAATGGGGTCCTGCAGGGATCGGTTCTTGGCCCTATAATATTTAACATTTTTATTAGCAACCTGGAAAAAAACATAAAATCATCACTGTTAAAGTTTACAGGGGACACAAAAACTGGAGGAGTGGTACACAGTGAAGAGGACAGGTGACTGATACATAGCAATCTGGTTCACTTGCTAAGCTGGGTGCAAGCAAACAATATGCATTTTAATATTGCTAAATGTAAATGTATACATCTAGGAGCAGAGAATGTAGGCTATGCTTACAGGATGGGGTACTCTATCCTGGGAAGCAGTGATTCTGAACAAGATTTGGGGAGTGTGGGGAGAATCATCAGCTGAACAGGAGATCTCAGTATGGGATCAGCTAATTCTCTGTAACAGGTGCGAATCTGTGAGCTTAATATGTGCTATATTGCTCTTAGGACGATCATGATGAGGCACTGCTTAGTGTCCTGCAGGATGTGCAGATCTTCATACTTTCTGCTAAAGCTTTGCCCTTAGAGCACGCATAATAAATATTCTCATTTTGTCCCCATGATCAGCTGTAAGATTAATTCAATCTAAGGATGCATAAACAAGGGAATCTTGCATAGAAGGAGAGAGATTATTTTACCTCTGTATTTGGCATTAGGGCAATCACTAATGGAATCTATTTAGTTTAACAAAAAGGTTAATGGGCAACTTGATCGCAGTCTGTAAGTACCTATGTGGGGAACAAAAATTTGATAGTGGACTCTTCAATCTAGCAGAAAAAGTAATAACAAGATCTAATGGCTGGTAATTGAAGGTAGACAAATTCAGATTGAAAATAAGGTTTAATTTTTTAAGTGAGAATAATTAACCATTGGAATGGCTTAACAAGGGTCTTGATGGATTCTCAATCACTGACAATTTTTAAATCATGATTGGATGTATTTCTAAAAGATTTGCTTTAGGAATTATTTTGGGGGGGGGAGTTCTGTGGCCTGTAGTATACAGGAGGTCAGACTAGATGATCACAGTGATTCTTTCTGGCCTTGGAATCTATGAATCTGTAATGTATTTATAGTCTTATAACTTGGAATTTGTATCCATACAGATTCTACTGTAATGCGCATCTCATTATATTCTACTGATGCAGTGTATATATTGCAGTAGCTCAGTGATGACTAAAGCAGGTTTTAGGATAGCTTGTTTATTTATCTCTCAACAAGAAATGACTTACCAAGTAAACACTATACTGATGCTACTGCAATCTAGCCTGACTGTACTCACTGTCTCATTCTCTGTAATGGGTTCCTGCCTCTGACTGTGAGAGAGTCTGTGAGCTTAATATGTGCTATATTGTTCTTAGGATGATCATGATGAAGCACTGCTTAGTATCCTGCAGGAAGTGTGGAACTTCATACCTCCTGCTAAAGCTTTGCCCAGAGCACACATAATGAATATTCTCTTATTGTCCCCATGATCAGGTTTATGAGCGGTATGGGGCATATTAAGGTTCTTCATTATTGGATCAGCCAGAACTGATGGATGGGAAACTCCTAAAGCATTGATATTTACTATATTTGGTTCACTTGGAGCCATCGATCTGTTCTTGTTTGGAGCTGGATTTGGTAACGTATTTCCTGGCAGTAATCAATAATTATTTTATATTCAGTATGATACTTAATTGTGAGTAAACCAAAAGACAGATTGCTTGGATATAAGAACTATTGATTGCCAGCAGAAGGCACACTTATCAGCTAACTTTCTGAAGAACAGGAATATGAAGCTACTCTTCCGTATTGCTCTGATGACACTGGGAAAATGACAAATAGCTCTTCTACTCAAGCATGAATGGATGGTATTGAAGCAAACTTGCCACATCTTGGGTCAAATTCTACTTGCCTCATTCACATGAGCAGGGACATAGAAATCAATGGGAATGCTTGAATAAGGCAAGCAGGGTCTGGTTCTTTATCAGTGCTTTATGATTTTAAAAGTCATAGGTAGCAATATTTTTATCCTGCTTAGATACTATGGTGATAGATGATTTACTAATACCGATAAATATTCTGTTTCCAGTACTCTTAGTGCACAAGAGAAAACAAGAGACAATGCATCACCTCCTTCTGTATGGAAAGAAATGTCCACAAAGAACTACCAGTGATGCCCAAACTATTCCTGTTACGCCTCCCCACTTACCAGTAATGGAATCTGTCTGTGCCCCCCCTCCATTATGGCACAGTTGGCTCAGCAGAAGAATTTGGGCCGAAGGTGAAGCTGGGGTTGGAACTGGGGATGGAGGAGGAGCTCGGGCTAGAGGTGGAGCTGGCCTGGGGGTGGAGAGAGAAGGAGGGCAGAGCTGGGCTGGGGCCAGAGAGAGCTTTGGATGGGGTGGGAGTGGTGTAAGGGCCGGAATGGCGCTGCTACTGGGATCAGAGCTGGACTGGGGGTGGAGTGGAGTGTGGCTGGGAGCAGAGTTGGGAGGTGCTCCCTCCCTTCTCCCCGTGGGGACTGGCTCTGGCTCCCCTCCCCCGAACATTTCTCCATGACACTCTAGGGGGCATGCCCCATAATTTGGGGACCACTGAGCTAGATTGTGGCTTTGCTAAAAGCCCTGAGTAAAGGGCAGTGCAGAACCAGATTTTTGCCTCACTGAGCATTCCTAGTGTCCCCTTACACCAAGGGGAAATTATCTGCACCAGCCCTGTACCTGGCACAGATTCCTTCCCTTTCCACTCTAGCTCAGCTGTATTGGTGGGTGCATTGGGGGAGAGGCTCTGCCCTCTTCTTGCCCATCTCTACTCACCTGCACAGAAAGGGCAACAGCAGCCCTATGGAAGGTTCTCCCCCACCCTACACTGCTACTGGCATTATGGATATGCCAAGGAGGTAAGGGATGCACCTTGTGCCCCTGCTCCCCTGAGCAAGTGTCTAGGCAGCATCATGCCTATGCCTATAATACCAGTTTTGCGCTTCAACAGGAAAAAGCCTTTTCAGGCATTTGAGCAACAGGATTAAAAAAAAATTAAATTATATTCCACATTCTCAAAGCTGACCAACAGTGATATGTGAAGGAGGAATATCATTTGTCACAGGGGAACAAAGGCATATAAGCGTGCAAGGCAGCATTGTCTAGCCAGTTGAACACAGAGTTTAGTGAGATGAAAATAGTTTTCTACCAGTGAAAGTAATTTTTTACAGAAGGTATTATAACCAATCAGTCAACTAGAACAATAAGGTCTTCCTCTGAAGATAGCAATTAACCTATTATTTTAGCTGACTATTTGAACTTGTGCTCTGTGATCGAGAATGTGATCAGTTAATGAGTCACACAACAGCCAAAACTTTCATTGCCATCAAACCAAAGCTCCGTTCATTCTGAATCTTGCTGTATGGACATTTTAGTAAAAGAGCCATTGATGGGACTGACGTTAAAAGAGCTATTGTAGTAGGATGCATATTTGAAACTGAGTACAGCAGTTAGCTGTTTGCATTGACATTTGTTGGAAGCATTGCCATGCTGTTTGCCATTTGAATAACAAAAACAATTTTTTTGATAATTTTTTGCCTAAGCGGAAAAAGACAGAGAGGGAGAAAAACATAGGGAAAGAGAGGATGAAGCAGCAAAGTTGACTTATAGTATCACATACAAAAATAAGATTTCCCATCTTCTTAAAATGTTCTTTTGGGAAAGTCTAAGTCTGGATACAAATTGATGCTCTATTAGTTAGTAACATTGCTAATACAGTGTATGGATGGATGCAATAAAGCAGGCTATAACTGAAATTTGTTGTAGGCGGGTGGTGGGGGTGGAGGAAGTGTTTCTAGGATCAGAAATACTTAAAATTAGTAACCTTTTATCAGAAAATATTTTTTTCGGTTTTTACCTGTTGACAAATAAGCAGCTGATTTCTTCCTTTAGAATGGTCTTCCTTTAGTTCAGTTGTTACTATGCCACGAATGTGTCCATCTATTCAACACAGAAGAGGGAGCATTAAGGTCCTGATCTTGTAGGCACTTATTCATATGCTTAACTTTAAACATCTGAGTACTCCCACTGACTGTAGCCACGTCAGTGCTTGTAAGATCAGCAATTTAAATTGTAGTGTTCTTAATGAACCCTAAACATAATTATAGGTATCTGAGCTTTAATAAAGCATAGCTTCTCATTTAACAAAGCTTCTCGTTGCGCTTTGTAACAAGTAATAGTGTAGTTTATGACTTAAATCTGTTAAATTAAACCAGGTTCAGTTTACATCATGTATTGCTTAGGGCCTGGAGTGGTAGCTATGCTTTAATTTTGTTTTCTTGACTAAGTACTTAAATAGGAAATACTGTTATATTGAGAACATCATTGAATGGACCTGGTTCTCTCTCCAGCCCTTTGTATGGTCAATAATACCAGTGCATAGCATGTAATCCATTACCATTCTGATTAGGTCGTGTTTTGTGCTCTGTATTCACTTAGCACTGCAGTAAAGGACTACAAAAGCTACAGAGCCACAGAGAATCATGTCTATATGGTAAACAGAGTCTCCTTTGCTGAAAATACACTGATGAGTCTAAAGGTGAAAAAGCAGGTAGAGGGAATGAGCAGTCTTTTGCATCCCTGAGATTGGAGTTAAGACATGTAACAAAATGTCTAATTTTGTAGCCATTATGACAGCTGAATTGGTGGGGAAAATGTTAGCATTAAACTAGGTAAGGGACATACAGACTACCTCAGCTGTTATCTTTTCAGATTAATAATCAGGTATACTGGCAATTAAAAGGGGTAGCTCAGAAAGCAGGAGTATATTAGGGTGTGAATATAGTACTAGTGTGGATTCCAGCATATGCTGAAAATATCACATCTTATAATTTACTGGTTTGTGTATTGCAGAAGAGCCTTATTGAGGATCCTGGCGTCATTATAATAGGCATTGTATAAACACATGCTTTCTTGTAAAGCATCACAGGTATGCATGGCACTTTACAGGACAGTAAAATACAAATGCTTGCACTGACTAGCTCGCACTATAAAGCCTGCCACATGGCCACAAAGAACTTGCTGCAGGATCAAGACTTACAGTTAGAAGTAACATGAGAGATAGAAGATAAGACAGTGAGAGGCCTGAGGAGGGTTGCCACAGGTTGAGGTTGTGGTACTCCTTGTAGAATGTGCATCGTAGCGGGCCCTTTTGTGTCACGGAGCGATTTCATTTCCCAACTCTTGGTACCTCATGTGGCTCGGCCCTGCTGCCCCTGGATGTTACTTGGGCACTACGTGCTGCAACAAGCAGATCTGCTGATGCAGACGGTAGGGCAGATGAAAATCCAGGGTGCAGTTAGGCCACATGCATGACCCTACATCCCTCTTCCTCCTTATACAGCCCTCATGTGAGGAAGCGAGTGACTCCCAGACAGGATGAGTCCGTATCACTGTCCCGTTACAAGGTGAACTCTGAGGCCCAGAGTGATCAAGGGCGATTACCTCAACATGGTGACACCAGCATGGGTTTCCCTAGTCTACCAAGGCCTATGTGAGTCATCCCATGGAGTCTGTGACTGAGCTGGGGACCAGCAGTACCAACGCTCTGGGGAGCGGATGCCCCCCCATAGCCCCAAGTCTTGGGAGTCCCACCATGAGGAGACAGAGATGTTGGTACCAGCATGACCGGGGAGGAGGGAGTCGCAAGTGTGACCCCTCTGCCCGGCCAACCCCAGCGCTGCACCCATTGTCTCACCACGCATGAGTGCCTAAGGGCCGGCCGGAGGATACATGGCTTTTGGATATTTAGGGTTGGCCAAACAGGTGGGGAATTGCACCTGCCCGCCCCCTCCAGAGCCCCAGGGCCCCCGCCTCAGGCTCGCCCCCGAGCTCCAGCCCAGGGCCCCCGCCTCAGGCTCGCCCCCCGCCCCCCCGAGCTCCAGCCCAGGGGCCCCGCCTCAGGCTCGCCCCCCGCCCCCGAGCTCCAGCCCAGGGTCCCCGCCTCAGGCTCGCCCCCCCCCGAGCTCCAGCCCAGGGTCCCCGCCTCAGGCTCGCCCACCCCCGAGCTCCAGCCCAGGGGCCCCGCCTCAGGCTCAGGCTCGGCCCCCCCCCCGAGCTCCAGCCCAGGGGCCCCGCCTCAGGCTCGGCCCCCCCCCCGAGCTCCAGCCCAGGGGCCCCGCCTCAGGCTCGCCCCCCCCCGAGCTCCAGCCCAGGCTCGCTCCATCCTAGTATCTCTCGCCCCCCCTTGCCCGTAACTGAAGCCCGGCGCCACGCGCAGGCGCAATCGCGCGCGCGGCCGCCATCTTGGCGGCGCGCCGTCGGCGGGGGGCGGGGCGAGCGGGTCCGGGCGGGGGGAGCCTCCCAGTCCGGACTCGGGACTTTTGAAAAGCTCCGGAGCCGCGGCGGGGGGGGGGAGCTGCGGGCTCCGGGGCTGCGCTACCGCCGCCGCCGCCTGCGACCGGGACCGAGCCCGAGCCGACCGGCGCCTGCAGCTCTCCGGCGGCGCGGCTCCGGGGCGTCGGCGTCCAGCGGGTTGGTGCCGGGGGGAGCGGGCGCCCCTCGCCGGGCTTGGGGGCGCTGCGTGCCCCGCCCGCGGTGAGCGGGAGCGGGGGGGCAGGGCCGCTGCGCGCGCGCGGGGGTGGGGAGACGAGGGGGTGCCTGAGGGGGGAAATGGGGGGGTCGCTGCGCGCGCGGGGAGATAGTGGGGGGGTCATTGTGTGTGTGGGGGGGTGCAGAGGGGAGGGGGGACTAGCGGGGTTCAGTTTGAGCGCGCGGGGGGGTGGGGGAGAAGAGGGGGTGCCTGAGGGGGGAGATGGGGGGTCGCTGCGCGCGCGGGTAGATAGTGGGGGGTCATTGTGTGTGTGTGGGGGGTGCAGAGGGGAGGGGGGAGTAGCGGGGTTCAGTTTGAGCGCGCGGGGGGTGGGGAGAAGAGGGGGTGCCTGAGGGGGGATGGGGGGGTTGGCGCGCGGGGGATAGTGGGGGGGTCATTGTGTGTGTGTGGGGAGGTGCAGAGGGGAGGGGGGGCTAACGGGGTTCAGTTTGAGCGCGCGGGGGGGTGGAGGGGGTGAATGGGGGGTCGTCACCGGGAGGGGGTGACTGTGGGCGAGGGGGGGGTCACTGTGTCTCTCCCTCCTCCCTCTGCTCAGGGAGCTAGGTCCCTCTCCCTTTCCCCACTTGGAAGAAGTGCCATGCTGCTCCCCCCCCCCCCCCCAACAGACACTTCAGGGGCCCAGGCCCCCCCGTGGCCCCCGTGCTGCTCTCCGGTCCCGGGTGCTGGGCGCGGGGAGCCTGCCCGGGAGGGACCCGCTGCCGGGGGCGTGGAGGGCAAGAGGTGCCCGCGGCAGGGCTGGACTTGGCTGCTCTCCCTCGCTGCTCCGCAGTTAGGCCCCGCTCTCTTCCTCCCTGGGTGCTTTTCAGGGCTGTTGATGGCTTTATGAAAATGTGCAGTGCTAACTTGTGGAACCCTCCGAGCTCTTCGCACAGGTCCTTTGCACAACTTCAGAGGCGCACACCTGCGTGTAGTTTACCTTGTTTGCATGGTAAAGGAGAGGGATTTTTTTTTTAGAGTAAGCATGCTGAGTGCTAGCAAGATATTGATACCGGCTTTCTGAGCTGCTGCAGTCCGCATCGGAAGTATTCGCAAAAAGAAAAGGAGTACTGGTGGCACCTTAGAGACTAACCCATTTATTTGAGCATAAGCTTTCGTGAGCTACAACTCGCTTCATCGGATGCATGCAGTGAGCTGTAGCTCACGAGAGCTTATGCTCAAATAAATGGGTTAGTCTCTAAGGTGCCACAAGTCCTCCTTTTCTTTTTGCAAATACAGACTAACACGGCTGTTACTCTGAAACCTATCAGAACTATTGTGCTTCAAGTAATCTAGAGGTGTGATTTATGTCTAAATATTGTACAGACTGTTACAGAGAAGTCTCAGTAATTCTCACTTTGTTAGTCTATACATTTAGTAATCATCAGAAACCTTGAGGAACTCTCCCCATTTGTCAACAGAGATTTCATAGCAAAGTCAGTTCTGTAATCCTGTTTAATATTACTAAAATGTACTACAGAATATTTTAACACATTAAGTTTGGGTGATAATTAAGACTAATTCACACATTTCAAAATAACTGTCTTTACAAAAAAAAAGTTTGTTCTTTTATTCTCTAATATGCAAAATTCAGCAATCTGCAGTGGATCTCTAGCACAAATTAGCACGCTGCTGTGCATTCAAAGCAAGAGCACTTACAGGGACGCTGTCAGATTGAACCCACTTTCCAATAATAAGCCCACTGGTTTTTCCTGGAGTTCCAGCCAGTTTTGCTTTTACATTTCCTTATTTAAAAAAGTTTCCCCTACAGTTCTGTAATCAAAGGGGGAAAATAGTAGTGACTAAGGCCCCAATCATGCAGAAAGATCCATGAATTTGAAACCCTGTACCCTCAAAAAGTGGGTGCAAAGAGCAGCCACTGGAGATCTCCTCTGTAGGAATGAGTGACTACATTGTAGCAACAATGATATTGGTTATACAGGGAGTGCTGTTGCATGTACAAAGTAAAAGTAATTTTCCCATAATCTCTTTAAATAGTAGTAACCAGAGATGTTGCTTGTTACAATAGCAGGTGAAAAAAAAAAGGTACAAAAGTGATTTAAGTTGGTGGTATCCCATTTGCAAAATCTAAGATTCTCTGCTGTATCTTTCTGAGCGCTTGTACAGCCGTCTAAGTCACCTAAGTCAGTATAACATATTTTGCTCAGGGGTGTGAATAAGCCACCGACCTAAGTGCTGGTGTGGACAGCGCTGTCTGCTGGAGAGTCTTCTCCAGATGCGCTACGCCACCACTGTAGTGCTTCTAGTGTAGACTAGCCCTAATGTAACACAAAACCCCTAGGAGGTATTAGGCAGTGGAGGTCAAACCCAGGACCTCTGGTTTTAAAAGCATGAGCCTCTGCTAGCTGAGCTAAAAGTCCCTGTTATGTTACATCAAAGGTTGTATAGATTTGAACCTCTGTGTGGGACAGCCATATTGTTCACGTGTTCTATAAACAAACTGAGAAACTAGAAGTTTTTGTTTTAAGAACTAGCTATGTAAAAGAGGTGATGTCATTAAGTTTTAAGTATCAATGTGTGTCAGTAGTAATATTACATAATTTTTTCACGGCACTTCAATAGCTTAGGGGAATTGACTCAGTTGGGCTCCCTCAGTCTAGGATCCACTGAATAGGTGTCCACTTAATCTCTCATCACCATGTCTGACATCCTCATGAGTCTCAGCAGAGGTACCAAGGATTGAACAGATGTGGTCAATGAGCCCTCTTCTACCTCACGATGGCATCTCATCTTGAGAATTTTTAAAAATGATCTCACTGTGCTGTACTGGCGGAAGACTGGTTGCAGATGTATTTATCATTGAATGTTTTTATTCTAGTATTTGTGACAAAGGATTACTACATCTGAAAGATGGAGTATGGATAAATCTCAGAAGATTTGAGTGTCTCTGCTAAGTATGCTTCTTCTGTCTCTTCATGGGCTACATCTTCACTGAGAAAAGGTGTTTACACTAGCTCTGTCAAACAATTAAATAAATTAATTGTCCTACTATTCACATTGTTAAATATTAGAATACCATTTTGTTAAATATTTTTGGACGTTTTCTACGTCTTCAAATATATTGATTTCAATTACAACACAATACAAATTGTACAGTGCTCACTTCATTTTTTATTACAAATATTTGCACTGTACAAAACAAAAGAAATAGTATTTCAATTCACCTCATACAGATACTGTAGTACAATCTCTTTATAATGAAAGTTGAACTTACAAATGTAGAATTATGTACAAAAAATAACTGCATTCAAAAATAAAACAATGTAGAACTTTAGAACCTACAAGTCCACTCAGTCCTACTTCTTGTTCAGCCAGTCCCTCAGACAACAAGTTTGTTTACAATTAGCAGGAGATAATGCTGCCCATGTCTTGTTTACAGTGTCACCTGAGTCAGATGCCACCAGCAGAAGGTTTTCTTTTTTGGTTGTTCAGGTTCTGTAGTAATACATTGGAGTGTTGCTCTTTTAAGATATCTGAAAGCATGCTCCACACCCCATCCCTCTCAGATTTTGGAAGGCACTTCAGATTCTTAAACCTTGGGTCGAGTGCTGTATCTATCCTTAAAATCTCACATTTGTACCTTCTTTGCGTTTTGTCAAGTCTGCTGTGAAAGTGTTCTTAAAACGAACATGTGCTGGATCATCATTCGAGACTGCTATAACATGAAATATATGGCAGAATGTGAGTAAAACAGAACTGGAGACATACAATTCTTCCCAAGGAGTTCAGTCACAAATTTAATTAATGCATTAATTTTTAACGAGAGCATCATCAGCATGGAAGCATTTCCTCTGGAATGGTGGCTGAAGCATGAAGGGGCCTATGAATGTTTAGCGTATCTGGCATGTAAATACCTTGCAACGCCGGCTACAAAAGTGCCATGCAAACGCCTGTTCTCACTTTCAGGTGACATTGTAAATAAGCAAAAAGAAAAGGAGTACTTGTGGCACCTTAGAGACTAACCAATTTATTTGAGCATAAGCTTTCGTGAGCTACGGCTCACTTCATCGGATGCGTAACCACTTTTAAACCTGTCATTGTAAATAAGAAGTAGTCAGCAGTATCTCCCGTAAATGTAAACAAACTTGTTTGTCTTAGCGATTGGCTGAACAAGAAGTAGGACTGAGTGGACTTGTAGGCTCTAAAGTTTTGCATTTTTTTTGCGTGCAGTCATGTAGCAAAAAAAAAAAATTTACGTTTGTAAGTTACACTTTCATGATAGAGATTGCACTACAGTACTTGGTATGAGGTGAATTGAAAAATACAATCTTTTGTTATTTTTACAGTGCAAATATTTATAATAAAAATATAAAGTGAGCACTGTACACTTTGTATTATATGTTGTAATAGAAATCAATATATTTGAAAATGTAGAAAAACATACAAAAATATTTAATAAACTTCATTTGGTAATCTATTGTTTAACAGTGTGATTAATCACAATTAATTTTTTTGTTAATCGTGTGAGTTAACTGCGATTAGAGCTGTCAATTAGTTTACACATCAAGATAGCTATTTTGATAGAACATCTTAGTGGAGAGAAGGCACAACAGCTTTTACGTATATATAGTTATTCAAGGTGCATGTCAACTGGGGTATGTAGATTTGACCATGACTAGCTACAGATAGGTTTAAAAACAACCTGTGCCTTGTCTCATCTAGGACATTGCATTGAGGTACATTGATATAAAACCACACCTATTTTTTGCAGTGAAGACATAGCTTAAAATACCTTCCTGAAGTTGGACTTGTAGCTGAATTCAGATTTCATGTATCCTGAGGCTATTTACTCCAGTGTGTGAGACTTGATATTGGCAGTGACAAAAGGGCTCTACTGACTTTCAAAGAGCTTTACATAAATGGGCTTATTGGGGAACCATAGAGAGGAAGTAACTGCCCTGTTACTAAGTGGGAGTGTGTTTGGGGTGGTGGGAAGGTCACATTTGAATTTCAGTGGGAAAAGTTTGCAAGATGGACCAAAATTTAG